ATCAGATCTTTTTATACACGTCATTATTAATTGAGACAGAGAAGGTAACAGTGAGAAAAGACAAAAAACAATGAACATCTAATTATTATTGGGAAGGTCTTTACTCCATTTTGTGGCGAGGACGAAATATATTGCCTTGCGGTAGATTCTGTGTTTAAACAATTTTAAATTTATGACCCCCTCATAGTTTATGATTTTCTCAGAGATATGGAGATGACAATAACGCCTTTGATATTACGAATATATTATTAAAACAGATAAAAACAAGACCCCCCACCCCCCGCGAGTCATTTCTGTTGTAATTTGTTGTAGGTTGCCCTAAATTTATCGTATAGATTGACTGGAATATTTGTTTGTATTTACTGTAGGTGTAACTGTTTGATAATGGCGACGAATTGTTCTGGTTGATATGGACTTATTGTCTCTTTAAGGTCCTGATTTCAGGTGAATGAAAATGAAATAAGCTGTACTGAAGCCGTTGGTCGGGGTGGGGAGGGGGATCCCGACAAAGATCACAAAAGCAAACAACTTATACCCTACTAGTTCATAGATATCTTTATAGTTTCTCAGTCATGGCTCTCATTTCAGTTTCAATTGTTTTGTTTCTACGAGCATATATACCAGATTCAAAATAGAGTTATCTACATCCATGAAGATAAGGTGGTTCTAGTAAAATAATTCAATTGGGCGAGGCTGCATGTCCACACACCACTCCCCACCTGCTTTCTTACCTTACTCCATCCAAAAGTCGATTCCATAAATTGCAGTTATCAGGCTTATCCTGCACCATGACACCGTATCCACTGATTTAATAAAACTGTTTATGCGTCTAACACAACAAGTCGTATGAACAAGAGCTTGGGCGAAGATATGAATATCGATAATTCCCTTAAAGTAACGCTGCGAGGTTTGATTTTGCAATTTTTCGCTAAATAGTCAAATTTCTCACGGCTTAATCTACGCTAATATGTATTGAGAATGATTATTTAGTATTTAATTAAGAAAACAAAATCAAAATCCCAACTTGGATTCAATCGGATTTAAAATATGGTTATCAATTGTGTTCGCCCATAACAAAATTGCGAACAGCACAGATCAATGAAATTTCAATTCAACATATATTATCCTTTAAAAGGCTAATCCCGATATATTTTGGGGAATAAAACTGCTTAATTTTGTGTTAAAATCCCTTAAAATTCTCTAGCTGAGGGCCGAGCAACTAACTCAATATTTGTGATAAGTTTTCAAACCACTTAAACCCGTTAGTCTTCGTCTGGAAATGCAGACGTGTCCCAAGCTGTATTATGCTGTATTATTTTATAAAAATAACGTGTAGTTGAAATTTACCTTTCGTTATCAAGTACAGCACATGGGTCATTCACTTCATAGACCTCTCAAGGAACGGGAATCGATTATCTTGTCACCCAACGATAAAACTGACCCAAAATCTTAAAAGGGTTACGTGTCCGGCGGATAAGCAATTTTGACATTCACGTCCAAACGACTCGATATTTTGAGCTGGAATTTTGAGAGAAGGTAAATATCCCATTCCTCTATATTTTGGTGCTCTATACGTACTCCGACTTTTATTTTTGAGACTCTCTTGATATCGGGATAGTCCCTTTAAAGCACACTGAATCGGGTATTAGCCCCGTCGATGCAGAAACGTAGGACGTTTAAACACATTTCATTTCACGCATTCACTGTATTTAACTGTCAACTGATAACACGTTTTGGCAAGCATGGTATGAGGATGGTCTATAACCAAAGATATATGGTCATAAATAATATTCTTATCTTGCCCTATTCAAAATAGAAATCCAGGTTAAGGTTACATTTGTGGGATATATTTCAGTATATATATACACCATGCTCTACAGTGCAATGACAATATTAATAATATCAATATTTCTTTACCTCGTAAATTGAGTTTTAAAATCTAACCCCTTTCAGGGGTTTTCGACAGAATATTACTATTTAGTACTATTAGCACCAACCTGACACTAAAGATCGTCCGGATGACCAAGTTTATATATATATATTGTCATTTAAGGCTCATGTTTCATAACGCAAGTTTCATATATTTGTGAAATATAGCTATTTTTAGAAATAGAAATGAAGTTATGTTTGGGACACTGCTCGCTATATTTGGGACGCCATCCGCTTAATTATTTTGGAAGTAAATCTATATTTGGGATGTTGATAACTTACATCGTAAGAAAAACAGGACGTTCAACCCAGCTCCATTTCATTTCGTCTATTGTATTATGTGTGCCATACTATTTACCTCATTTAATACTTTTATCACTTACAATGTCAGTATGTTGTTTGTTTTTATTTGTCTTGTCTGTAGATTGTTTTCTTGGCTTGTTTTTGGTTGTATGTGCGTTACAGTTATTTTGCGGACCCTTCCGCCCTTACTAATACTGTTTTACATTAAAGTATGATACTTTATTACAATAGTGGTAGATCGTTCTTAGTATTATTACATTGACGTGTGTCGTTAAAATAAAAATGATTTCAGAGGCAAATGTTTCATAAAATGTTGTTTTGTTTCTTTAATATGTTGTTTTTGTGTGTTTTTCAGTTCTCACAAAAGATCTATTGTAGTTGTGCTAGTGGTGATATCGTTATTAACTGTTGTCATGAAGTTCAAAGTGATTAAGCCTGTTATGCTGCACCAGTACCTCCTGGGCAAAGATATAAGCGTAACAAAAGTCAAGGAATATACCCATGAATATATTTATAAATTGTCACCAGCCTATCATATCGAAACTATATGGAAGCGCATAGGGGTCAATAGCGCAATAGATACCGCAATATGAAGTTGGTAATACGTCAACATATTGTGATTGTTCTGATGATTTTGTCTATGAAAAGACAATTTTTGCCAAGTTAATTGAATCAACGTGCTATGTTATATGTCCCCATTTTGTTTTAAATGTGCACGTGTGCGTTAAGATATCGACATATTACATTCCGCCGTAGTATATTGTGACAGTATTGGTTCCTTAATCAAGTTCAGAATGACAAGACTAGTTTAACATCTTAAAATACTTTTATTCTCTGCTTCTTCTAACATATTATATACAAAACTTAAAGACTCCATAACTAGCTTGTGTTGAGAGAGCCATGTCCTAGCTCGGCTAGGCACGAGTGTGCCAACTCCCAACTCTTACATTACATGGCCATTGTCCAGACCTGCGTGACCTGTCCTAGCCGGACCTCTCTCTCTATTTGTTTCTTAATCTGGGTTTATAAACCTTTCCAAACAAAGGATCTTATTAGGCATCTGGCTAATGTATCATATCAAGTTTAACATTCGATACATGCTAATCAGACAAAGAAAGTTTAAATAAAACATGCCAGCAAGTTAACGTTTACATAATCATTACATAATCACATAGACCACGAACTCCAGGCATGTCGATAACGAACAGGTGTCAAGTTGGCAGGAAGCGTCTTTAACATCAAATAATCTGATTATGTAACAATATGTCGACTTTTTCGCGAAATATCGCCATGCGCTATGTCGACGAGTGCATTTAAAACGAAGTGACGATATACAACATTGCGAGTTATTCAGTTAACTCGGCATAAATTGTCCTTTTAGACATAAAATCATCAGAACAATCACAATATGTTGACATATTACCAACTTAATATTGCGGTATCGATCTCGCTATTGACCCCTATACGCTCCCATAAAACTACCTATAAAGAACGCAAAATTATATTATGGTATGTTACACCTAGATATGTTAATAATACACCAAATTTACTATCTTTAAAACCATGTCCAGAGAGAAATTGTTCTATGACAACAAATAAAAAGTATATGAAAGAAGCTGCAGCTATTTTGTTCAGTTCTCAAATTATGCAAATACGCAAACCGATGTCAAGACTCAAAACCAAACCCTAAACAAATATGGATACTTTTCGACTTGCATTTTCTTGTAGCGTAATGTCGACTTTCGACTTTGTCATAATTTTGTATTTATTATGTCAGTAAGAAGGCGTTAGCACTCACACTTAGCCAGAATGCAACTCGAAAATTTGAAATTAGGAAAATTATACATCGCGATATTAGCGACCTATGAATTTGGCTTGTTGTCGCTCTGTCGACTTTTCGAGTTTCATTTTGGCTTGTGTTGTTCCCATACATAAACTTGTTGCATTTCCCCTTTCTATATCCAGTATATCAATTATCAGTAAGAATTTGAATTTAGGAAATTAGCGATATTAGCGACCTATGAATTTGCCTTGTTGTTGTGCTGTCGACTTTTCGAGTTTCATTTTGGCTTGTTTTAAACTTGTGTGGGGAATCAACACATTTGTGTCAAAATTTATGAAACCTGTTTTGTCTCATGGTATAACTTGTGTTGTTCCCATACCTAAACTCGTGTTGTTCCCATAAACTTGTGTTATCCCCGTACATAAACTTGTGTTGTTCCCATACATAAACTTGTCGCATTTCCCCTTTCTATATCCAGTATATCAATTATCAGTAAGAAGGCATTAGCACTCACACTTAGCGTGAATGCAACTCGAAAATTTGAAATTAGGAAATTAGCGATATTAGCGACCTATGAATTTGGCTTGTTGTTGTGCTGTCGACTTTTCGAGTTTCATTTTGGCTTGTTTTAAACTTGTGTGGGGAATCAACACATTTGTGTCAAAATTTAAGAAACCTGTTTTGTCTCATAGTATAACTTGTGTTGTTCCCATACCTAAACTCGTGTTGTTCCCATAAACTTGTGTTATTCCCGTACATAAACTTGTGTTGTTCCCATACATAAACTTGTCGCATTTCCCCTTTCTATATCCAGTATAGCTACCTATTCCACGCCCCATACTGTACCCTTTATTTTGTGCTGGTTTAATTGTAACATTTTCTAAATAATATGGCAACATTTTATAAAATTATTATTTATTCAAAATGATAAAGATAGGTTGCCAGGCAACGAAACATACGCTCACGGCAGCTAAGTCGCCCGGGCAGTCAACAAGTGTTGTCGCATATTTTTTCTATTGTCGGTAGTGAAACATTTATAATACACTAAAATATGATTAAGCGTAAACAACTCATTAAATAATTATCAGAAAATCATTAGAATTTGTTTGTCTTTTAGTTATGCCCCATGCTAACGTTTAGTATATGGAACATTTAAGGGCAAGGTAAAGTGACACCATTTTGTCACAACACCTGATATGGGTGGTTCTCAAAAAGGGATTTACACCAGCTTTAATGCAAATACGTTGGTATCTACATGTGCCTGAGATGATACAGAACAATAAAAAATGGATGGAAATCCAAAATAATGACTTTGAAATAAAATATTTGCCAAATATTGAAGCAAATTCCTAAGTCAGGACTGCGCAGCTACAAGCTTTATAAAAAAGAACACAGGAAAATTAAACTGGCTAAAAGTTCCTCAGATAATCAAACTCCAACCATCAAGACTTGAAATCTGAAAAACAAATATCAAAAATTAGTTATAGGACCTCAAAATTTTCAAATATTTTGTAAACAAAAGGCCATTTTGTTTCATGCACTACTTTCACTGCAGATGTATGGTGTACCACTAGTGGCACAGTTGACAGCAATATTGCCCCTATGATATGAGGTACACATTGTACAAATAGCCTTCATATTCCGGATATGACATCTAATTACAATAACAGCAGCCTTTTTGCAGGGATTTTTCATGGCTTGAATACAGGGCTATATTACAATTAATGTATGTATGTCTGCTAAGGCTTATTACATTATATAGTTATACCATAATGATGAATGCATTATTTGTGTGAAAGAGAGAGACAGAGAGAGAGAGAGAGAGGTTTAATGTCTTCTGGACACAAACTAGGTCATTTCGGGACTAACACATGGTTCAAATTTATTTCAATAATACGCTAGTGTGTAGGGGTCTTTAGCAGTCGAGGGACCTGGAGAAAACCCACGAGGCTTGACAGGCGACCCTACTGCCTGTCACATACAAGTGGACAACTGAAACTACGCCACTGGACTCAATGACGGACCTTGTGATCAAATGTGCACGCGTTAAATGTGCACAATTTGTTATACCCACCTGTTATTATATTAAAGTCAACAAATCCTAAATCACATTTCAGTTCCTGACCTATATTTCTGAAAAATAAATAATGTAAAGGTGTATTTTTCAATTAATTTTCTAAATCCAGCACATACACAAATTCTCAATATACATGTACATGTGTAAAACATTCAGCATTATTTCCAAACTTTCCAGTGGGAAGTGATATCAGATGTTCTAGTTAATTAGATGCTGACATACATGAATCACATCCATTCACAGATGTACAATGTTTCTGTCTTCTAGAAGGCCTACATAGATTTGTAAACTTGCCAACAGGGTTTGTGTAATATTAATAGTGATATTTTGGGCATACCCTGCCCATGCACAACACTTGTCACTTTGCAAAATTGTAACTTAACTGTCTAGATAGGAAATGTTTTTGATTGGCATGTATTTAATGGTTGCATTTGGTAAGCTACCATTGTAGATACATTAACCATATTCACATATTTTATTTGACTCGGAATGTTTAATGTTTTTGAGGTTTTTATTTCATATAAATTGACAATACGTACCATTTTAAAGTTTTTTTTATCATAAATGCCACATAATTTTTTAATGCTGCTTTAAATTCCATAGAAATCATAGTTTTCCTTGTTTATCTCTAACTCAATATCATCCAAAGTCTTCCACCTTGAAAATACAAATTATTTTTCAGTTTATATCAACATTGATGTTATGATCTTACCGAGAAAAGATGGGCTTCTGATATCCGATATTTAAGACAAAATAATAATTTTACCATTGGTACACGTATCGTGTACCATAATGCGTTTCAGGACCTTTTGTAATAAGGTACTTGAAGAACGAGGCTAGACATATTCCACAAGTCATGTTAAGCGGTGATGCCATATTCTTATCTGGAGAGTATGCACAATAAATACTATTATTGTAGACTGGAATAACCAGACGCTAGAGATTGTCATTCAATTGAGACTTCTGACATATTTCGCAGAACATAATTGAATTGAAATTTGAGTAAAAACGGAAACGGTTGAATGTAAATCAGCTACATTATTATATGCGTTGCTACCCATTTGTGTCAATTTCTAGGTCTCAAATATTAGCGATTTACCTCCTTTAACTTTAAAGCAACAGGGCCACCATAATCTGCGTAGATTATCTTGTCCAATTCTGTAAAATAAGAATAAAAATTACAAGGTATATCAGTGGAAAGTTTACATGAAACAAATCCTAAATAAACGACACATAATTATAATAGTATAATTATTATATAATAATTTTAAAAATGAAAAACCCAAGACACAAAAAATAATTTAATAATATAGGCCTAGGCTAAAACTTGATAATTTTAACTTATATATAAACCCATAAAATTTATCACTAGAAGAAATTGAAAATATCCAACAATTAATTTTCATGTTAATAATAATGCATTTTGGCAAGTTTTAATTTCAAAAAGCCCAAATGATTAGGCAAATAAATTGAAGACTGTCGTCTTTGGCATGTGCTACCTGTGGCGTTCCGTAGTCCCAAACAAAATAAAGAATAAGCAATTAAAAACTATTTTTTTTCCAAATTGATACACAACATAAGTTGCAATGCAAGAATGCAGTGTGTACTTACCAACATAAAAATAAAATTTATTCAACAAATTTGAGATCACTTCACGACGAAACCACATGTACCAACTTTTTTGACAGTTCGTCCCATTTTTCTAAAAAAAACCCCAATATCTCGAGAGATCGGTTATCCGATCACATATGACATCAATGTTACATAATGCCACAGTACCTTTCAAATTTTCTCCTTACAAAACATTTCTCTCAAAATATTCACGAAATAAAGTTTTTGCCAAATTTCTTAATTGTTGACATTTTGAGGCCGAATGACACCTTCTAGAAGTTCTGCAGCGAATGGCAATAGTCCGGCAAAGCCAATTTAAAGTAGCTAAGTACGTAACTCAATATCATCCAAAATCTTCGACATTGAAAACATGATTTTTTTTTTGCAATTTAAATTGGTGTTTTGATCTTACCTGGAAAAGATGGGCTTCTGATATCCAATATTCAAGACAAAATAAACATTTTACCATTGGTACACGAATCGTGTACCATAATAAATTTCAGCACCATTTGTAACAAGGTGCTCAAAGAAAGAATGAGGCTAGACACATTCTACAAGTCTTGTCAAACAGTGATATCATATTTTTATTTGGAGAACTTGTGTTATTCCCATAAACTTGTGTTGTTCCCATACATACATTTGTGTTGTTCCAATACATAAACTTGTCACATTTCCTCTTTCTATATCCAGTATAGCTACCTATTCCACGCCTCATACTGTAACCTTTGGGGGGTTGGATGGCCGAATGGTTAGCACGTGCGTGCTGTATCATAAAGCCTGTCATTGAGTCAACTGGCGTGGTTTCGAATCCCCGGTTGTACGTGACAAGGAGTAGGGTCGCCTGTCCAGCCTCGTGGGTTTTCTCCGGGTCCTCCAGTTTCCTCCCACTGCTAAAGACCCCTACGCGCATGCGAATTATTGAAATAAAATTAAACCATATGTTAGTCCCCAAATGACCTAGTTTGTGTCGAGTGGAAGTTAAACCCCATTTCTCTCTCTGTCTCTCTGTACCCTTTATTTTGTGCTGGTTTAATTGTAACATTTTCTAAATAACTAAATAACATGGCAACATTTTATAAAATTATTATTTATTCAAAATGATAAAGATAGGTTGCCAGGCAACGAAACATACGCCCACAGAAGAAAAGTCGTCCTGGCAGTCAACAAGAGTTGTCGCATATTATTTCTATTGTCGGCAATGAAACATCCACAAGATTTTTCAAAGTGATCAAGTGCCATAACCCTGGTAGTAATTATCAAAACTCATTGAAAATCATTGGGCTACTTCGTCTCAGGAAATTAAACACTGTTTATAAGTTTAAAGTCAATCGGATACTAACTTTAGCCTCTAGAGGGACGGGGGCAACGACAATAATGTGGTCGGATAAAAACTACCTACCCCCCTCCCCCCCAACACACACACACACAAAATGGATAAAATGGATTAGACTTTCAGTTATGTACACATAGGAGTTATTACATGGCAGAATAAAACTATAATACGGATTCTAGGGAAGGAAATGAAAAGAGCATGATTTAACACAAGATATCATTTTTAGACTAACATTTGAATGTAGGGGAAAGTATGGTTTCTGCTCCAGACTCTCATAGTTGGCATAGATAGAAGGCATTACCAACTTTTTAAAGTTTATTGACCGGAAAGTTGAGATTACGTCGAGTTTTTATTATTATGCACGTGGATAAATAAAATTCTCGGTGGCACGATTTGAATAAATACAATATATCATGAGTATAACTGATTAGAAGTTTGAATTATTAATTCTCTTTGATAAATGGGCTATTCGTTTACCTCGACACTGTTGGATAGGTCACTTTCTATAAAAACATTTCTATAACCCTCTCGCCAATCAAATCAATAAATCATTAAGATATAGCACATATTTAGTCATTATCAAAACAACAAAGTAAACAGTGTCGTGTCTTTAAAAGAAGAGAGTGTGCTTATATATAGTTTCTTAGACATCATTCCACCACTATGGAGAGAATTGGATTTCTAGAGGTATTATTATGCGTTTCAGAAATAGGCCAGAGTTCAAGGCTTGTGGGCCTATAGATTATTACATTTATATGTAGGCAAATATCATACTTGTTGGTAATTTTGTTTTAGTGATGTGTTACTTTTATAAGAACACGGGTTTCTCGAGTTTTATTATTTAACCAGCGGCTGCCAGGCAGGATACGCCCACATTTTGCAAGAGATGGATAGAGAACAAGCTAAATAAAAAACGATTTTTCGTACAATCAGGGGCCATAATTCAGGAAGTTACAATCCGATATGCGCAAATATCGAAAGGAACCACGATCTTTGATTTATAAACTTATATTTCAAGTTTCATTAAAATCATAAGAAAATTGTCACCTCTAGAGGGTCCACAACATTCATATACCTTATTTTTACGTATTTTGAATACGAGGGGCGGCAATTTTGTCTGTCTGTTTTGGTCCGATTTTTACGAAATTTGAATTCAATCATCCTTAGGGTGTAACGGTGATACACAGTTAAAAATAATAAGGAAGTTTACACCAATTCGGGTGGCAACTAGTTGCCACCTAAATAGGGGTAACTCCTAGCCTTTAGTGGTGTAAATCGATAACATCCAACTAGTGTAGAACATTACACCAATTCAGGTGTAAACTAGTTGCCACTTCCAGTGGTGTAACCTGCCTGATGCACTCAGACAGTGTAATGTTACATATAAATAGTTTACACCCGTGGGTGTAGATTAAGCATTATCCCTTAAATGATGGTGTGTAAATTACACTTCCATTTTAATTATTACACCAACACGGGTGTTATTTGTTTTGTTGGATATTTATTTCAAGGAAACGACTTCTAAGTTCAGAAAACTTGAAATTGGCTATCGGTCTCCATGATAATTAGTATAGGGCGTTTAGCCCGACCCAGATTACATATAGACCGTCGGCTACTGTGTTTCATTTTACAATGACATTAAATTGACAAATACCCATCAGACTGATTCAAATTCAACTGCTGTTGGGCAATTAGACAATCTGCATCAAATTACAATGAATATAAACCATGAGGAAAAATCAATGCACATATCCTTACATCTTGGCTGAATAGTGTGGTTTATTTATTTATGCACCTCACCTGAATCAAGAATTATTAATTAAGATTTTGTACTTTGTAATATTTTGGAACATTTACACATCTTTAAGTGTATACAAGCTAAAATAATCTATACTTTATGAGTAAACACGCTAACATGAGTTATAGTTGTGTTACTAGTGCATCTTATTCGTAGGAATGTTTCCCTAAAATAATTACACCTGTTGGTTTAAATGCAATGTAACGCTTGTATAGGGGTAGCTCAAACCAAACACCCATTAGCGTCTACAATTACACCTATCCTGGTGTTCAGTACTCATGAATATCGATTACACTTTTGCAACCCAATAAACGCTGTAAAATTAACGCTGTTCTATGGTTTATTCCCCAATAATAGTTACACCCTTTGGTGTAAATGGAGTATAACACATGTAGTGGTGTAGCTTATCCAAAACACGCCACAATTACACCTATTCAGGTGTTCAGTAGTCATGAATATCGGTTACACTTATTAGGTGTAGTTCTTTTAGTCGGTTACCCTTGGAAAGGTCTTACATTTAAAAACCGCTAGCTGTGGTGTAAAGTTTACACTTAATTAACACTGCTTATAGTTTTTAATTACACCCATTTTTAACATTGTATATTCAAATGTTTTTTTTTAAATCGCATAAAAATTATGACCTCTATATGGTCCACAATCTAAAAACGCGATTTTCCGTACAATCAGGGGCCATAATTCAGGAAGTTACAGTCCGATATGAGCGAATATTGATCGGAACCGAGATCTTTGGGTTATAAACTTGCATTTCAAGTTTCACTAAAATCAGAGAAAAATTGTGACCTCTAGAGAGTCCACAACCTAGATATATCATATTTGAGTACGAGGGGCGGCCATTTTGTCTGTCAGTTTTGGTCCGATTTTTACGAAATTCGAACTCAATCATCTTTAGGGTGTAACGGTGATATATTCAAACGTTTTTTTAATTCGCATAAAAATTATGACCGCTCTAGGGTCCACAAGCTAAAAACGTGATTTTTCGTACAATCAGGGGCCATAATTCGGGAAGTTACAGTCCGATATGCGCGAATATTGAACGGAACCGAGATCTTTGGGTTATATTTTTACGCTATTTGAGAACGAGGGACGGCCATTTTGTCTGTCAGTTTTTGGCCGATTTTTACGAAATTCGAAGCCAACCATCCTTAGGGTGTAACGGGGATATACTAAAACGGTTTTTTAAATCGGATAACAATTATGACCTCTATAGGGTCCACAAGCTAAAAACGCGATATTTCGTACAATAAGGGGTCATAATTCAGGACGTTACGATCCGATATGCGCGAATATCGAAAGTAACCGAGATCTTTGGGTTATAAACTTACATTTCAAGTTTCAAGAAAATCGGTTAAAAATTGTGACCTGTATCGGGTCCACAAGCTAAAAACGTGATTTTTCGTACAATCAGGGGTCATAATCTATGAAGTTTCGGTCTGATACACGTCAATATCGACAGCAACCGAGATGTTTTGGGGATAAACCTATATTTCAAGTTTCGTCAAAATCGGATACGAATTGTTACCTGTAGAGTGTCCAAAAACAATTGTGGACGGACGGACGGACGGACGGACGTTCGGACGGACAGGGGCGACGGCAATTTTCATATGGACGTATAAAAAGAACACAACGCGTGAAGTCAAGGATTTCGATGTGTGACAAAGGATCAGCAGGATTGCTAGTTTTACAAGTTCCTGTTTGGATGTCATGGCGTGGGATATTGTTACGTATGAAGAGCCCCGGGGAAGAACGGTCTAAGTCACTTTTTCAATAAACACCAGTTAATGGCGCCATCTGGTAGTAAATTGTATAAGTTTTCTGTGGAACAATCTATTTCAGGTAAAAACGACCGGAGTCACATCGAACCAAAGCCCTTCTGAAATGGCCTCCCGGAAAAATACAAGTCCATCGTACCCTTTATCTAACCTTAATTTGCCTGAAAAGTTGAAGTCAGTTGTACTGGTAATTATGATTAGTATTAAACATCATTTTGAAGTTGTATTAAACCCACTCGTTGTTCTGTTCGCGTCAAGCATTCTCGTCCAAAAGTCTGTTTTGCCTTTTATGCGAAAAGACAAAAATTTGACTTAGATGGTTCTTCCCCAGGACTCTTCATATATACGGCGGATAGTTACATGTTTATAGTGTGTGTCTTCTAGTTTGTTTATCTCAAAATTTCAGTGGAGCAAGTACATGACCAGTTGTTGCTCCATGACCAGTTGTTGCTCCGTCTGTGGTGGAAATGGTTCAGGCCAAAGATACTTTGGGGAAAACGGTGAGCTGGCAAACAGACAGGCCAGAATTAACATTAAAGTCAATGGAGAAATTAATGGTGGTCTGCATCCATATTCCAAAATGAAGTTTTCTCCCTTGATCTTTCTGGGACCCGTCTTGTGTCGTTGATTTCACAATCAAATACAGCGCCAAATACAAAATAAATAATACCATTAAATTCCTTGTAAACAAAGGTCTAAATACTACACCAAATAATGCAAAATATATTATTATTTTATTATTTTAAAATTTATCATGTTAAACCATTTCCTTTCTTATTGCAAACAAGGAAAGGAAGTAACAAACGGACATTTTTTTCTTCTATATACACATATTTCAGGTGGAAAATGTTAAGACATATTTTATGTAAAATATACAGACACAGACAGTGCACTTGAAGCAAAAGATGGGATAATTTACCAGTTGGGTTGTGTCTACAAGAACGCACATGGGCAATAACGCTATCCCACCCTCAAAATATTTTTAGGAATGAAACTTTGCACAAACTGCCATAGACTTTTATAAATATGACTCATTTCAGGTCTTTCGGGGGATAGCACAACTTTTTGTCAAACCATTCATCAACCCTAGCTATTGTTTTCGAATATATTTGTAAATTATTGATTCTGTAGCATATTTCACATAAGGCTGGTGTCTCGTATTGATAATGGATAAAAAAGATGTTGTTATTTACAACTGTGTCCAAACGTTCATATATACTTATATACAAATCTTTTTTTCTTAATATTTTCATGTAAGCCTCGTCATTTGTACTGAAATAGTGTAGATGATCAGCTAAATCCTTCGTAGTTTTAAAATCTCTGGTGTCTATAAATGTTCCAGCAGGAATATATTTAGTATAATTTCCCCCACCACGAGCCACTAAAATGTAATCACTGTTATAGTTTTTATAGAATTTTTCAGTTATATAATCCTCACAAAACGCACTTTCAAAAGCTAGATAAAATTTATAGGTTCTATTTATCATTTGCATAAATTCTGTATCTTTACTTCTGGGCCACTTCTTGCCACACTCACCGTAAATATCCACTGCGATGTACTTTTGTAGAAGTTTTACATATTCCATTCGTTTACCGCTATTTTGACACATGCTGACCATCCAAGCGATATTCTTAGTTTTATTTTTAACAAGCGAATCTAAGTCCCTATTATACAACTCGGTGGGTGTTTTCTCTCTCACTATACCATAAGCTGCTGAAATATCTGAATCATCTCTATAAAGCATTGTCCAGTTAAATAAATGACGCCATTGCGGTTTCCTAAAGACATTGTTCCTAATCCAGGGAGTATAAAAATCGTCTAACGGTTCCGTATCATGAAGTATCCATGTTTGGTTTGGATTTGGTCTTGTCGGCGGTTGGGGTATTGACATAATCTGGACATTGAAAAGAACAGCTGCAGCATCTTTCATATACTTTATATTTGTTGTCGTAAAACAATTTCTTTCAGGACACGCCTTTAAAGGTTGTAAATTTGGTGTATTATTAACATATCTAGGTGGAACATACCATAATATAATTTTACGTTCTTTATAGCTTGTTTCAATTTCATATTCTGATGTTAATCTACCATCTATATATGTATGAAGCTTTTTATGATCTTTTTCAAATTTTAACTCATGAAGTCTTTCATGCTCTGTTTCATTTAAGTCATGAATCCTTTTATGCTCTGTGTCCAATTTTTGAAGGAATTTGACTTCCGTTCTCCGTTTTAAGGCTGGCAATAGTAGTATTGCGAAATATATAAATGTGGTGGTTGCTATTAGAAACACTAACGCCTGTATGCTCAAATATTTTCTGAAAAAAAAAGAACAAACTGAGTATGAATATTTTAACCTTTACCTTGCCTGCTATCACGTTTCACCCACTAGTAGTAATGTCATACATTAGCACCAGTTGTATAAAAATTAATTTTGTACCAAACAGTATCTCATTCGGGAAATTACGGTAGCTGACGGTGTTGGCCGAGAACCTTCCCGGGCAGTTTCCAGCGTTCTTTCCTCTTTGGCGAAAGACCGAAGGAATTTATCGTTCAAGTTCGTTGCAACAACCTCTTTGGGAGATTTTAATTTTTTAAATTACACGTCTCTTTGTACTAATTTAAAAAAACAGATCTCCACACATTCAGCATGTGCCAGTATTTAATAATTATTTTTTTAAAAATGGAATTCTTTTTAACCTAATCACCTAAAAAATAAACATTACACGCGTAGGAATACGCACTATGATCAATGCCGAGTGCCATTTTGGCCAATCAAAATAAAGAAAACTTCTATCCCCGATCCTTCAATCATAGCGTACATAGTCAACAAGGACACATTTTTCTGGCATTCTGACCAGAAAAATGAAGTGCCTTATTCATCAGAATGCAACACAGCCCCGCAAGTTACTGGTTTTTAACGACAACACCTGGAGGCATTGTGTGGAATATTCAAAACAGTGGCAGACGTTGGATGGAGAAGAAAAAATTAAAAAACATTGCAATCACGTATCGAGATGTGTTCGAACTCGAAGCTATGTTTGTATGTTATTATTAGTTATTTTATTATTATTATTTTCTTAGTCTTAGTATTTAAATTTTTTCTAGGCTGTGAGTGTTCACGTTGGTTGTTGTTAAGAAATATATAAAGTACTTGTTCACAATACATGGTTATGGTATCACGCAAACCAGTGGTGGGCAAACTTTCAAGTTTTAAAACAAAACCGAAGCCTAAACTGGTGAAGGGCAAAACATTTTTATGAAACATAACTAACAAATTACATTAGTCATTAATTACAATGTTAAGGGTTATGAAATATCATTTTCAATAAAGTAATATTAGAAATATGGAGTACAGCACATAATATTTAAAATTACATTCTTATTAGAATCATTTAGTCAGGTTCCATGGAACTTTGTCAAATTTATATTCCGTCGGTGATTGGTCTAAAACAAAACCTGCCGTCTTGTGGGAGCATAGTTTGGAATAGCCTTACAGAAAAATCAAAGGCAATTAGTCTAAGCCGTGAAAAGATCTGCAAAGATTATTGATCCTACAGACGGAAATGCTATTTAAATAAGCAATTTAAGATTTTGATTTCATTTAGAGATTGCATTGCTCAAAAAAAATTTAGATGTAGGGATCTAGTGGGCCGGTTAATTGGGCTTCGTAGTTTTAGGCGATATATTCTAGTATAAATATCATGCAAGAATTATAGTTTCGAAATTAATATTCACCCAGGAAGTATGAGCTAAGTTACTATATTACTGGCAATATATTGTTAATTGAGCAAAGATAATTTAATCTATCACACAATTGTATTAATTGTAGATGTTGCTCTTTCCTGTACAGATCTATGTGGATGTAAAGACTGTCAAAATTCCACACCTACACCGACAGAGATGGCTATGGATGATAATGATGATGATCATGATGATGAAGAAGAATTTTGAATGTAAAAACTATATATAAAAAAAATAAATATATATATTTTCATTATTACATCAACAAATATCTGTTATCAAAGTATTATTATTTTTTCATTTTCTTTAAAATGATTTTCTATCCCCAATTCTTTGTACACCTTTAACCTGGCATTACTAAATTTAAAGCAATATATGGGAGCATGGATTTTATCCTCAGTTGAATGCTACATTCTCACATAGTTTATAACTCTTACATCAGGGATTTTTTTGTGTCTGTCCCTTATGATCGGCTGAAGTTTAATGATTTTTTTTTCTCTTGATTTCTGATATTTTTAAAATCAAGTTATTCCATCAGATTATAATTTTGTTTTATTTTATAGTAAAACTAATGTTTTAAATCTGTATCATTAGTCGAGTTTAAATTTTGAACAGTTTTACAATTCAAGTATTTAAATCTTTGTTAATATTGAACCTATCATTGAACTGCTACAACTATGCATATTTTGTACACTTTAGTCCATGAATGATTTAGTATAATTATAAAATCAAAATCAACATGTTTTATTAAATTTTAAAATGACTTTGTATATATTTTTTTACATACCAATTGTATGCTGATTCAAGCCTATAAATTCATATCTTATCAACAGAGCTTGTACATACTGTTTTTTTCCATATTCATCTAAATCAGAACTTTTCTCAATTAAAGTCATTACAGTAATATTTAATGTTTAATTTTTAAACTACATGTACATGTATTAAAAATCTTAGCTATTTCTTTATATATCAGACATGTGCAGCATACATATCAATGAATTAGTGTATGTGTAGTGTGTACATGCGGACTTGATACACATAATCATATTTTTCCCTTTTCAGATCACACACACGAAAGATACACCCCAACTGTAGAATACCGCTTAACGCGGATCACCTCAAATCGACCTTAAAATCAAATGGGATATTAAATCCGGGCGTCTGAACATCGTTACAGTCCTAGATTTAGTTCAAAAAGTCCTGGGTTGAACCGAGGACGTCCTCGGTTGACACAGGTCCGTGATTAGAAGGTGTGTATTCAGATGTGTGTCCTCGATATACACCATATACAAACGCAGTGAGTGTTTATTGGACACGGAGTGTATCAAGTTCTCAGTTAACCGATGTCTACCATACACATCATATATGGTCACGTGGGAGAAATAAGTTATTATTTATACCATATCTAAACTTAACCGTTTTAAACCCGCACGATATTAAAAATCTAGCCATCTAGTCATTATATTACTTCTGGCGTAACTTATATTACTTATTTTTACCTGGCGTAACATATAAGATTATTGCCGAAATCATAAAGATAAAATAATGAGTAATCAACAGTTGAAATATTAATAAGTCGCGCAATTTCAAGTAGTGTTATATAATGCGTAGGTACCACTGGGCAATTTTTGCCTTGCCGATGTACTAAAGATATAAGGCGTCGGGAACAGGTTTTCAGGTGTCCTAGGGGAGCTCCTGGGGCATCGCGAGCCACGTGGACCCATCGGGAGGTGTAGCACTATCATCGTTGCGACATTGTTTTTAAATTTATAGACAAGGAATAGAGAAATAAGATCGGTTAAACAACATATTTTATCTTTACAAATTATTCTCTATTGTCAGTATAGTAGCTATGGTATGAGTTTATTTAAAACGCAAATTAATTGTTTGTGAAATAGCGTGAGAATAACAGGAAAGGGGTTTTAAGTTCAAGGATAGATTGTGTCGAAAAACATGTGACGGAAATTTACGATTGCATCATTTGGCTTATTTGACCAATCTCTGTAATTATTTACATCATATTTGACCAATTAGATAATTGAAGATCCAAAGCCAAAAGCTACAAAACTATCATATTTGTGAGAATTCGTTAGACAGCAGCTTGGTTCTAGAAGTGAAAAGATGTAGAAGTTTCTATTCAGCAGACTCGCCCATATCGAGTCTGGCTGGCTAGGGTTTGAGATTGACTTTAGTATTATAATCTATACTAATGCTTATATGTATCCAGCTTGATATATAAAATGTAAAAACGAACAGTTGCATTGTTATAACTACTGAGAAGACAAACGTCTTAAGAAAACAGTAAGAAGTAAATACACAACGTGAAGCAGAAGTAAAGACAGCTAGAGGCAAATTCTAGACGATAACAAGGCTACTAAGATATGTAGTAAGAAAAGATGCATGGGTCGTACGTAGGATGTGGCGATCGATTAGGATCTCCCGCTCTCCACGTCTGACAGAAGGTCCATGGTGCTACAGAGGTCACGGAAGAACTGCGAAAAGTTTCAATGCTTTCATTGTCAGGAAAATAGGACATTCCGGGGATGCTTCCCTGGAGCTTCCGCGAAATATGCTCCGGGGCATGACCGAAGCATCGGCGATGTCTTGCTGATGTATCAGAGGACCTTTGAGGATATTTGAATCGGGGATGCCTCGGGGAAAAAGTATTCTTCAAGGAAGAATCTCGGAGCTTCCCCGTCGGGTAAACATCGGGCAAATTTTCAATACTAGCTTTGAAATTTATCGCAGTTATCCCCAGGCTTCCAGATGGTTTCATATGGCCCGCGACTACTCCGAAGCATCGGCGATGTCTTGCTGACTTATCAGGCGACCTTTGAGTATATTTGAAGCAAAATATTTCGCTGAAGCTTCACTGCTCCAGGAAAGCATCTCCGGAGCTTCCCCGTCGATATGGAAAGCTGCCGGCATGCCCTCCCGGCCTGTTTTCCAGACAAAACGTCGGGAACACATCGGAAGAAATTCCAATGCCAGCTTTGAAATTTTTTGCAGTTCTCCTGAGTCCTCCTAATGGTTCAACATTGCTCATGATGACCCCGAGACTTTCCCTTCACACCGGGCGCCTCGGGGGATCATCAATTTCAGTCGGTAGTATATCGCCGATGCAAAAAATGCCCAGTAGGACCTTGGCATATGTGCCGCCGATTGAGATCTCCCGACATGAATATTCACCCGATGATTTTGATTATCGGCAAAGGTACCCCGGAGCTTTCCCGGTTATTGGGAGCCATCCTCTATGATTCATGGCAATTGCTCGGGGCGGGGCATTCCCGGAAGTTTGTGACCATAGCCTAAGCATCAGTGCACATTCACCAGACCACTCCCGATGCTTAATAAGTTCTATTTCTGACGGGACCTACTTCGTTTCTTTGGGCAAAAACATCGGGACCCATCGGGAGAAAATTTAATATCTTAAAAAGTTAAGTTCTTAAAAGTTTAAATTAACACTGTAAACCTCAGAATGCCTCGTTCGGCAATTTTGTTCAAACGTGGCAAAAATGTGTTATAATTTTTGCCACAGTTTTGCCACGTTGTGGAGTATAAAGGCGCGTTCACA